CCACTTCCTCCCTCACCGTGGGGGCCTGAATTTGCACCCTCTCATGCCACCACCCCCCCACCCCCCCCGACTTACCAGCTGGACACTGCTCTCTAAGCTGCTGGGCTGCAGATCAGCACTTGTGGCCCGTCAATAATTGGCCATCAGTATTGACCCAAAAAAATCTTTATCAATGCACCCCTACTTTTAACAAGGGAACTAGCACCCCACAAATGGTTTCTTTTCCAAGATAAGCTACCTAACAACACTGCCATTTTTGCCAGGCATTGCGACAGCACCAACTTAGTAATATAAATCTGGAGGTCTTCAACAAGCCAAAGGTATTTCAGACAGTGCCACTTTATCAGTTCATTTTTTCAGGACATAGAAAGATGATGGCAAATGGCCCATATGGGACTTCCCCAAGGATACTGAGGTTGCAGAGGTAAAATGTAATACTACTAAATGGAGCCAGTTCCAAAGCAGTCTTATCTGTTTGTTCAAATCAGAAACATTATGTGATTCTTGCAGTACAAACACGTGCTTATACTGGCATGGAAGACGCTTCCATCACTTAAGGTTTGTCTTCACTGCAGAGTTGTCTTGAGTGTTGTGATCTGGGTCTAAAATCCATCTTGACTCTGTCCAGTTGTGAACAGCCACACTGCAGGTTTTACCTGAGTTACTTTGGCCTTTACTGCAGTCAAACATGGCTGTGCATGTGTTGCTAGGACTCATCAGGCAAATCTCATGATATTTTGTTATGAAGCAACCTGAGCTATTCTGGTTTTTAGGGAGTTGTGGGAAAACTTGACTGTCTGGAGCACATGAGAGAGGCTAAATCATTTGTGTGCCAAGAGTACCCTAAAACCTAAGTCCTCACTGAAAAATTAATTGATTACCAGAGAGGATAGATTCGCAAAAGAACTTTAGTATAGGTGTCAGGACTGAATGTGTCCTTTGTCCAGATTCAGTGGGATAATAGCTGGCTGCCAGCTTCATAAGCCAAAGACTGCAAACTGTTGTTGTGGACTGAAATGCTATCAGGATTCAACCAGGATATAGTTACGTGTTGTGTACTCCTGTCCCTTCTCTGCCTGTTCATGAAAGATGCCTTTATCAGTGCTTAAGGGTTTTTGGTAGGTTCTGGAAAAATAGCTTATCTGCTGATGTGCCTAGGTATGCCAATGTCTCTACTAGCCTGAATAATTCTTCTGAACAATTTTGTGAGGGTCTGTGATTAGCGGTGTTTGGGCATAGAACCTCTTACACTTATTTCTTTACCTCCAGAATGACCATATGCAAACTTGAACTTGTCATTGTCTTTACCTGCACTGTCGCCTTCCTCCCTTTATTCAGTTAGCAGTTACATTGCTGCCTGCTCTGGGAAGGAGATTTTAGGAGCTGACCTAAATAGAAGGAAGCTAGTTGTCATAGTTTTTGAACAGAACCTGGAAATTCTCACCTTACTTGGGCTGGAGGAGTTTTCTTATTCACTTGGAATCGGTTGATCCCAGATTCTCTGAGGGCAAACATGAATATCCACTTTTGATTGGTTAAATTGGTGTTGGGTTGTCCTGACCTCAGATTATTATAGTTTGATTGGGGCTTTTGGGGTATCTGTGTATGTGTTCTGGGGTGGGTTGGGGGGCGCGCTTTAATTAGAGCAGTTCTGAGAGCTGCTTCAATTAAAACACCTGCAACATCGTATGTATTCAGTGTCCTGAGCTTCAAAATGGCAGCAGGGGTGCTTTAACTAAAGCTCATTGAACAAGCTTTAAAGCGCCCTTGCCATTTTGAAATGTGGGGACACTCGATACATGTGTCGTGGAGACTGCTGGAGCATGCTAATTAGCATGCTTCAGCAGACTCATAGCAGATTTGATTAATCAAATCTACTCCAATGCATGTATAGGTGCCCTTGGGTAGCATAGAGACCCTTCTAAATTCAGATCTGTATTGAAGATGTAACCCACTTGCATGCATTTCATAAGAAGTGGAAAAGTTGTTGATTCTATAATATGTAAAGGTGCACCGATACATTGGTCCATATTATATCAGCACCGATAAAAGGAAAATTTACATTATTGGCTTTTTTGGCTGATGTGGCTGATAATGTCACCAAAAAATGCTGTATGCATGCGCGTAGCCGCAGCATGCACGTGGCCAGCCTGGCAGCCTGGAGAGTAGCATCTGGCTGGAAGTCGGGGGCAGCGCCTGACTCTTCCCTGTGGTGGGGCTGGCCTGGGACTGTGTTCGGGGTGGGCAGTGTCAGCACTGGGAGTGGAGTCTGTGAGTGGGCTACAGCAAATTCTGGGGTGGCTGTAGCTCATCCCATAGGCCCTCCCCCTCTTTCCTAGCACTGCTGCCATCTGGTCTGAGTGCAGTCCTGGCCCAGACCCCCACTAGGAAGAGCCTGGTGCCACCTGTAGCGGCAGCCCACCCTCACCCCATGCACAGATCTGGGGGACTCCCCTCACTGCAGGGGCCTCAATCTGCCTTCCATACCCCTTCCCTCCCCCCTGCCCCTTCCCCCCAACAGACTTACCAGCTGGACGCTGCTTTCCAAGCTGCCAGGCTGCATATTGGCAATCGGATCTGTATCAGCTGATACAGCCATTGGTGTTGGCCCAAAAAATCTTTATCAGTGCACCCCTAGTAATGCACACGTGTCTTGCTAATTATTTGTAAATGCCTGCAATGCTCACTTCTGCAGATTTCAAGAGCTGTGCAAAGAAGCCCATAATTTGAAAGTTACCTTGGCATACTAATGTGGACAAAAGCTCAAAAACTTTTAGCCAGTGGTCTGCCAGAGAACACCGCAGACATGTAAAGGATTTAAAATGTTGAGCTGAATACACATAATGGCTTCTTAAACACCATTAGTCACTTGTGTCTTGCTTACATCTTTTATTATGCATAAGAAGTTAGGGATTACTATTGAGACATAAGGGAATTCATTTTGCTATACAGAAAAACTGAAGTTTATGACCCATATCAGATGCACCATTGATTGTGGAAAGGGATGATGGCATGGGAGGGACTGGGAAGGAGAAGCTGCAACACCAAAAGATTATGAGATACTTTTTATATTTAAACTTGCTTGCCTCTTCTGTTTTTAAATAATTTTTATTATGTTTAAATTTGGTTGAGCTAGGGGAAAAGGCAGTGTGCTTTGTTATAGCTGGTGAGCATCATAGGAACCTAAGTAGTTGGATGATTCTAAGTTGATGTTATAGCTACTTAATTAATCATATTTTTACTCTAAGGGTCTCTATACACAAGTGTGGAGGCTTTAGTTCAAGCACCCCGACTGCCATTTTGAAGTGCAGAGACACTGAGGCTAGGGCCCGACATTACACACAAACTGGTTTAAGTGTTCAGAAACTGGTTTAAACCTGTAACAGAACAGATGTTCAGTGCACATAAACCAGTTTGAAAATGGCTGAAACCAGTTTGAGATAAACCTGGTTGAATGTAGTATCAGATTTAACTGATTTGGCTCAACAGGTTTATGCAGTGTTTATCCCAGACCCCTTGCTGGTTTAAGGTAAACCAGATTCCTCCTATCTCCCATAGCACAGACCCTAGCCCCGTAGACCCTAGGCACGTGGTATGCTAGCTAATGCTGAGAGGTGTCTGTGTATAAGTGTCTCTAATTTCACTGGGGATAGGCAGATAGAACAGTGACTGCTTTGGGCTTTTTGGAGCTAATTAATGGGTCAGCCAGTAAACTGTTTAAGAAGTGTTTGAATTAATGGAGAGAGGCTGTTGTTTTGCTATGAGGTGATAAACACTGTTACTGGGGAGGGTGGGGAGGGCCTGGGCTGGCTTGCTCACCTGTCAGTTTGCTGCAGTCAGTATATAGAAGCAGGGAGGGAGATTGAAAAGCTCCGTATCATCAACAGTTGCATGCACTGCAACCCCTCTCCCCCATTGCTTCAGAGTGCTAGCAGGGGGCTGGGGTCTGGCAACACTCCTGCCCCTTGAGCAACAAGCGGGGAAAAGCCTGGGATGGTGCAAGCAGACCTCCCTAATCAGAACATCCTGCTGAGGCTTGGCCGTGACCCTAACCCTAAGCCTAGCGCGCCCCCCCACCCCAAGCTCAGTGTTATGCAAGGGAAGGGAGGGCTGCTCTAGTGCCCCCTGGCTTCTAGCCTGAGCCACTGCAGGCATGTGCCTGAATTTCTTCAGTCCAGAGAAAACGTCTTTCCAGTTATAAACCAGTTCAGCCTAGCCAGGTTAGGCTAACCTGTGAAGATTGAATCAGTTCAGGCTCAGGCTTTTTGAATGTCTGTCCCTAGCCTGATGCACAAGATGATGTGGTACTTTGATTAGAGTGGCTCTTGGAGCAGCTCTAATTAAACCACCACCTTCTTCCCCCACCTGCCCAGACCACGTGTAAAAGTTCCTGAAGAGCCTAATTTAGTTTGGGTGGATTATTTCTGCCTTCATTTTCTAATTTATGCGTGCCCGCCTTAGAGAATCACACTCATGTAACTAGGTACACCCACACAACTTTTATAGTAGTAAGTCGCCACCTTTTCCAGATGTGAGAAAACCAAAAGACTTGCTGCTGATAAAGTGAGCTGCTGGCTTTCATACCATTTAGGAATTGTAGGGATGTAGTTGCACTTGGAAAGCAAAGGGAACATCTGTTCCCCAGGCAGATTAGGACATTTTCTCTCTGATTCCAGAAAAGAATCAAAATGCTATAGGGCTCTTATACATGTGCATGGAAGCTGCTCTGACACGCTGTAATTATAGCGTGCCAGAACAGACTCGATTAATAGAATCTGTTCTATTAATTAACAGAGTTTGCTCTGTAATTACCGTGCTCTGGCAGACTCCAGCATGATGTGCATCAGTGTCCCCCTCCCCCACTCCGCCTCCTGGAGCACACTATAAGTGTATTTTAAATGGTTACTTGTTACCCTCTGCTTTTGTGGGTGGCAGGAGGAGGGGAACTCGTGTACCTGGACCATTTTGTGCATAACTAACAACATTTTGTTTGTTTTAAGGTACATGGGAATAGGCCTCTCAGCCCAAGGTGTCAACATGAACAGACTTCCTGGTGAGTTGCTGTTAAGAATTGCTTGTACACATGCTCTGATTCCCACAATAATGCAATCTGTTGCCTGTTCATAAATCTGGAAAAAGGAAGCCACAGAAAAGAGTGTATATCTGAGCTGCAGCTTGTGTATTTCCCAGCACAAATGAGTATAAAGGCTGTACTCATTGGTATGGAACTCATGACAGTAAGTGGGAAACCTGCCCAACATTGAGGTGACCCTGGTTGTACACTTCAAACTTGAACTGTTTCCTGCTATTGTAAAGCCTCTTCAAAAAAAAGTTATATCTCTCTCCTTCCCCAGAGACTAAGCCTTTGATAACAAGCAGTTGTCACAACTACATTGCCTCCTTACTTTTTTATTATATTTATATTTATTTTTTATCTTTATTTATTAGATTTATATACTGCCCTCCCCCAAAAGCTCAGGACAGTTTGCAGTAAAAGACAAGAACTTATAACAACATATCACATACTAAAATAAGAGGTTATATATTAAAACACACCTCCCAAAGAATATCCCAATTTAGAATTGTTCGCTAAATGCCTGTCCAAATGAAAAAGTCTTATATCGTTTGCAGCAGATGTTCAGGCTCATGCCCTGGTGGGCCATGAAGGGAAGGGAGTTCCAGAGCAAAGGTGATACTACTGAAAACTACCTCCCAAGGGTTTATCGATTGAAATTGGCTCACAAATTAAGTTTGCAGGAGTTTGCTCCCAGTTGACCATAGCGATTAAGGTGGGACATAAGGGTGAAGGCAGTCCTTTAGGCACTTGGGGAATTTCTACACGTGTAAGTGTTGCAGCACTGGACACTTTGAAAAGCGCCTGGTGCTTTTGTAAGTTGTATAAGTAGCAATATGCATGTCAGTGCTGAAAAAATGGTGGCAGCATGCTTTTAAACTAAAACACCTTAGGAGGTACTTTAGTTCAAAAGCACACCGCCACTACTTCCTGCGTGCTAATGCGCATTTCGCCACTTATACAACTGCACATGGCACAGCACAGTGCATGTCAACTCGCATGCAGAGCAGACTCCATTAATCGGGTTTGTTCCGAAGTGGCAGATCTCTGGTGTCGCTGAACCAAAAAGTATGTGTATAAATGCCCTTAGTGCCCAAACTGTTTGGGGCCTGATAAGTTAAAGTTATATTGTGTCCAGAAATATATTGGAGCATATAAGTAATGAACTGCTGGCAACCCATCCCCATCAGAAAGTGGACCACCACATATTACACCATCTGCAGCTTCCAGACAGTCATCAAGGGTGTTCTCAATTAGAGCATATTGCAGTAGGCCAGCCTCAAGGCTAGACTCCTGGAAGATGATAGCCAGATCCAAATCTGAAAGAAGGGATTTTAGTTCTTAAGACTGGAGCTAGTGAGACAAGTTGTTTGCTTAGAAGATGTAATTTAAATGAATTATTATAATTGAGGGCATTAAATTTCTAGAATTTGTGCCAACAGAGTAACTTCCAAAGCTGGAGTTCCTTTTCAACTGGCTGCTACAGCCAGTGTTTTGGTGTGTGAATGCTAGAACGTTTTGGTATTTAGCAGAAAAAAATGGATACTAGTAGAGGAAAGGGGGAAGCATTAGACAGGAAGAGGAGAGGTAATCACAGGAGATGAAGGAAGTTTAAAACTCTGGTTGCCTAACTAGTGGGACAAATGTTGCGGGATAACCATTTGGTTGATAGAGACACTGCACTTTTAAGTAATTGCTTACAGTTGAAGCACACAGATAGGAGAATGGCAAGAGTCTCAGGTAGTTCCCAAATTTGCTGACTTGCTCAGGGACCAAATAGAAATTTCTGAAAATTGCACTTTGTTTCAGGGGATGATTTGAAATTTCATATAATCCAAAGTGTGCACAGCTGGCATTTAATATAAGTGATGCTGCCTTTCTACTTGTTGCTTGTTTGAAAGTTTTTTCTTGTTTGGCTGGGATCCTTCTCAGACATTCGGAATTGTCAGTTTTCTCCCAGAGAAGAAAGATGAAGGTAAAGCAGTATAAAATTACTAAGTGGACATAGCATCCAAGTCCTATGGGGGAAAAATGTGTTTTAAAGAAAAATATTTTGTCTGTTGCAGTAACTGGAATGTACCAGATAAAACAAATGCATATAGAACATGTACGAGCAGTCAGAATTATAACAGTCCTTAATAAACTAGTTAATTTCTAGGTGGCTAATGCCTTTTTTATTTGTCTGCATGAGAGATTTTGCCCATTTACTGTGAGGGTGGTAGGGTGGGGAACATGAAAGGACTTTGGCCTGGGACATGTTGTGGTTCCTTCTTTTGCTGCCATAAATTTGCACTGATTTATGTCACTGTAGTCCAGACACCGCATGCTCTCAGCCAAACCCTCTACTTATGAAAAATGATGGATAACTGAAAATGAATGTCTGAATTGGTATGCAGAACTGTATGCAGCCAGATTGTGGGCAATGTGCAGAAGATGGGTGGGTGCACAGTGTAGCTGATTGCATTGTTGAGCAAGGTGCTGGCAAGAATTTGGAAGGGCTAAAAGAGATGGAAAAATCAGCACTATGAAGGTGATAGGAAGGGAAAAGCTGACTGTTTTCTCTGTCTTTAAGGGCGAAGTCAAAAACAAAAGGACATTTTGCCAAACCTTGCTTTTTTGCTCCAAATATCTTTTGTTTAGGCAAGGTTTCAGAAGCTAATCAAATGTTTGGCACTTTATATATCTTTAGATCTGTGCATATTGAAGTTTGCAAAGTAGCCACAGTGACTGGCCCTACAAATTGCAGCTGCCATCTTTTATATATTTCATCAATGGCTGAGCCATCAGGAATGCGGGGAGGGGGTAGAATGTGCTTTGCACTGCTTTGCAGTGTTTCACTTTAGCTGACCCATGAGTGGCCTTGAAGGGGTTTAAAGAGAAAATCTGAGGAATGAATAGTGATGACACATGATTAATGCAGCAGGTGAATACTGAAGTTACAAGTTGCCAGAAGTAAGCAGTTCTGGGGTCTCACTAGTATCAATGCTACTTAAGTTACTAAGAAATTATACCTGTGTGTATGGGGCTGGGTTAGTGGCATTAGCATTTTTACCAGGCACTGTAACGCTTCCTTTCTTGGTTATGCACAAGGGCTTCATGTACTCTGTGGTGTTCTGGAATTTCCTATAGAATCTGCTCCTTTCGGTAGAACTGTGCTAAGATTTCATTAAATCGTTTCCTCACCTTTTTGGTTGCAAAGATAACCTAACATGAACAAAGTGCATGAGGATGTGGTAATATTTGCTGATAGACTGCAACAATGGTTCTAAATTATGAATGGGCTTATTTATTTCAGTGAGGGTTACTGCTGAAGCATAATGATTTAAGTGCCAAGTGGACTGATATTCTTCAATGTCTTCATCAGCGACTTGGACGAGGGAGTGAAACGTACTCTGTCCAAGTTTGCCGATGACACAAAACTGTGGGGAAAAGTGGACACACCGGAGGGCAGGGAACAACTACAAGCAGACCTGGACAGGTTGGACATATGGGCAGAAAACAACAGAATGCAATTCAAGAAGGAGAAATGCAAAGTGCTGCACCTAGGGAGGAAAAATGTCCAGCATACCTACTGCCTAGGAAATGACCTGCTTGGTGGCATGGAAGCGGAAAGGGATCTTGGAGTCCTAGTGGACTCCAAGATGAACATGAGTCGTCAGTGTGACGAAGCCATCAGAAAAGCTAACGGCACTTTATCGTGCATCAGCAGATGCATGACGAACAGATTCAAGGAGGTGATACTTCCCCTCTATCGGGCGCTGGTCAGACCGCAGTTGGAATGCTGCGTGCAATTTTGCGCACCACACTTCAAGAGGGATGTGGATAACCTGGAGAGGGTCCAGAGAAGGGCCACTCTTATGGTTAAGGACTTGCAGGCCAAGCCCTATGAGGAGAGACTGGGGCACCTGGACCTCTTCAGCCTCCGCAAGAGAAGGTTGAGAGGTGACCTTGTGGCT